AGCTTTTAATGTTCTGTAAGTACACATAATACAAAAAGTTTATTTTATGTTCCAGGACAAATACAGAAGTCATTAACAACAGTGTATTTGTATGTGACCTCCCTTGTTGTTGATGCTTACACTGGATTTGAACCAGATGGTTTGACACCTATAAACTTGTGTACTCATGGAGTTCAGCATTTTGTCTACATCACAATGACATTGCCTGTATGAGTCTATAGAATTGATTTAATTCAAAAGTATAACAGGACCTTGTAGGAACTAAATGGAGCGCAAGAGCCGCCAGAATTCAAACATAATAGACAAAATTGAAGCTAATGATAGTAATGGATGCCCAAAGGTCGGTGAATGGTTCAACCTATTGACAAACCATTCAACACCTTTTCCACACCTCAACCACTGAATAATGTAGGGGAGATGGTTGGGGAAGTGATCGTTAGGGACACGATTGGACAGTATCAGTTGTACATTGTGCTAAACACTGCAACTGGAAACTTCCATAATGCTATCTAGGTAGTGTCTCATTTCTAAAACCGGTCTGGCGACAGAGATTCTACGAAACTTGTATCACATGGGTCAAGGGACTCGAATGATTGAAAGGAAAAATATTAAAATCATTTCTAAGTGTTTTCCTTTTTGAAGACCAGCAATAAAGGATATGAATTACAATATTTCCAATCTGAATGCTGTGGCGACAGATAACTTCATCACAAACACCAACTGGGAAAATTGACAATGAATACAATTATCTACATGATACCAATGTATTTGTTCTCAAATCTTTTTTCTGGTTCCTTATTCTCTCCTTATTAAAATGCATTCAATTTGAGAAGTAAAAAAAACATTACCAGGACCTATTGTAGCCACAGTACATCGTCATTGAAAATGTTATAATAACTCAGAAATACCATAGGCACACAAGAGTTGTTTCCCTTTCAATTCACAACATTTTTGAAATTGTTGTATTTACAAATGTATTGAGGAGATGTAAAAGCCTAATTACATGGTAATGCAAAGTTAATTTGAATTTGACCAATGAGATAACTTCAATAATGTAAACAGAATTAACTAAAGATGTAGTGATGTTGTACTAAATAGCAAGTGTTATAGAAACTGTACTGAAGCATGAGACACTATAGTTGTAAGGAACAGCGAAATATTTCTGATGTTGTAAAAGACAGCAAGTCACTACTGATGTTGTACTGATAGAAAAGTACTACAGATGTACTGGACAATGAAACACTAAGGATGTTGTCTGGGACAATGAGGCATTAAAGATATTGTTCAGGACAGTAAGACAATATACTAACACTGTATAGTGTGACACTACATATGACCCGTGTATATTTACTGTCCAGTGAGGCAATATGGTTGTACTGGACAGTGTGACACTACATATGTTCCGTGTATATTTACTGTCCAGTGAGGCAATATGGTTGTACTGGACAGTGTGACACTACATATGATCCGTGTATATTTACTGTCCAGTGAGGCAATATGGTTGTACTGGACAGTGTGACACTACATATGTCCCGTGTATATTTACTGTCCAGTGAGGCAATATGGTTGTACTGGACAGTGTGACACTACAGACAATGTCCTAAGACAATGTGGTGATATAGATGCTACCCTGATTCTTTATCAACAATTTAAAAGCTTTAATGTAATGTAACCAGTTCAGTCATGTTTATTTGACCTTCAAGTCAACAGAAAGAACATACTTTAGTGTCAAACACAATGAATCTGATGAAATACCAAATCAGATCAGCATCAGGTATGATAATTTTTGATATGATAGAGATAAATATAGGGTTTTAACATCGAGATGTTCAAATAAAACTGCCTATAATTTACTCTTTTCCATGACATTAAAACTAAAATCAAGTTTACTTTTACCTTAATTCCTACTCAACTAATATCCGACTCAACAGTTATCTTCAACCTTCCTAGTTAATGTTCTTCCCAAACAACAGAGCCTGAGAAACAGCCAGCACACTGAAGGAGATCTGTTCTTAAGACAACAGAGCCTGAGAAACAGCCAGCACACTGAAGGAGATCTGTTCTTAAGACAACAGAGCCTGAGAAACAGCCAGCACACTGAAGGAGATCTGTTCTTAAGACAACAGAGCCTGAGAAACAGCCAGCACACTGAAGGAGATCTGTTCTTAAGACAACAGAGCCTGAGAAACAGCCAGCATACGGAAGGAGGTCCCCTCCTCAGACAACAGAGCCTGTGAAATGGCCAACACACTGAAGGAGGTCCCCTCCTCACACAACAGAGTCTGAGATACAGCCAACACACTGAAAGAGGTCCTCTCCTCAAACAACAGAGCCTATAAAATAACCAACACACTGAAGGAGGTCCTCTCCTCAGACAACAGAGCCTGTGATACAGCCAACACAGTGAAGGAGGTCCCCTCCTCACACAACAGAGTCTGAGATACAGCTAACACACTGAAGGAGGTCCTCTCCTCAAACAACAGAGCCTATAAAATAACCAACACACTGAAGGAGGTCCTCTCCTCAAACAAGAGAGCCTGAGATACAGCCAACACAGTGAAGGAGGTCCTCTCCACACACAACAGAGTCTGAGATACAGCCAACACAGTGAAGGAGGTCCTCTCCTCACACAACAGAGCCTGAGATACAGCCAACACAGTGAAGGAGGTCCTCTCCTCACACAACAGAGTCTGAGATACAGCCAACACAATGAATGTATGCTCCTCAGACAACAGAGTCTGAGACACAGAAAACACATTGAAGGAGGTCTGCTCCCCAGACAACGGAGTCTGAGACACAGAAAACACATTGAAGGAGGTCTGCTCCCCAGACAACGGAGCCTGAAACACAGAAAACACAATGAAGGAGGTCTGCTCCCCAGACAACGGAGCCTGAGACACAGAAAACACAATGAAGGAGGTCTGCTCCCCATGAGACACAGAAAACACAATGAAGGAGGTCTGCTCCCCAGACAAGGGAGCCTGCACAGAAAACACAATGAAGGAGGTCTGCTCCCCAGACAACCGAGCCTGAGACACAGAAAACACAATGAAGGAGGTCTGCTCCCCAGACAACGGAGTCTGAGACACAGAAAACACAATGAAGGAGGTCTGCTCCCCAGACAACGGAGCCTGAGATACAGCCAACACAGTGAAGGAGGTCCTCTCCTCACACAACAGAGTCTGAGATACAGCCAACACAATGCAGATGGTATGCTCCCCAACAGAGGTCCTCTCCTCAAACAACAGAGCCTGTGACACAGAAAACACATTGAAGGAGGTCCTCTCCTCAGACAACAGAGCCTGAAACACAGAAAACACAATGAAGGAGGTCTGCTCCCCAGACAACGGAGCCTGAGACACAGAAAACACAATGAAGGAGGTCTGCTCCCCAGACAACGGAGCCTGAGACACAGAAAACACAATGAAGGAGGTCTGCTCCCCAGACAAGGGAGCCTGCACAGAAAACACAATGAAGGAGGTCTGCTCCCCAGACAACAGAGTCTGAAACACAGAAAACACAATGAAGGAGGTCTGCTCCCCAGACAACGGAGCCTGAGACACAGAAAACACATTGAAGGAGGTCTGCTCCCCAGACAACGGAGTCTGAGACACAGAAAACACATTGAAGGAGGTCTGCTCCCCAGACAACGGAGCCTGAGACACAGAAAACACATTGAAGGAGGTCTGCTCCCCAGACAACGGAGCCTGAAACACAGAAAACACAATGAAGGAGGTCTGCTCCCCAGACAACGGAGCCTGAGACACAGAAAACACAATGAAGGAGGTCTGCTCCCCAGACAACGGAGCCTGAGATACAGCCAACACAGTGAAGGAACACAACAGAGTCTGAGATACAGCCAACACAATGCAGATGGTATGCTCCCCAACAGAGGTCCTCTCCTCAAACAACAGAGCCTGTGACACAGAAAACACATTGAAGGAGGTCCTCTCCTCAGACAACAGAGCCTGAAACACAGAAAACACAATGAAGGAGGTCTGCTCCCCAGACAACGGAGCCTGAGACACAGAAAACACAATGAAGGAGGTCTGCTCCCCAGACAACGGAGCCTGAGACACAGAAAACACAATGAAGGAGGTCTGCTCCCCAGACAAGGGAGCCTGCACAGAAAACACAATGAAGGAGGTCTGCTCCCCAGACAACGGAGCCTGAGACACAGAAAACACATTGAAGGAGGTCTGCTCCCCAGACAACCGAGCCTGAGACACAGAAAACACATTGAAGGAGGTCTGCTCCCCAGACAACCGAGCCTGAGACACAGAAAACACAATGAAGGAGGTCTGCTCCCCAGACAACGGAGCCTGAGACACAGAAAACACAATGAAGGAGGTCTGCTCCCCAGACAACATTCTGAAATGTCGCCATTACACTGGTGAATTTCTGCTTAAATAACAGAGCAAGGAATACAGCTAACACACAGGAGAATGTCTACTCAGACAACTGAGTCTGAGATGTAGCCAACTCATGCGAGAAATTCTGCTTTGATAGAGATATTTACTGCATAACTGGACAGTGGCAAGACTGTCTGCTTCGAAAAATTTCATATCATTTCCATACAAATGAACCATTATCAACTCAAAAACAAGAATTGAAGAGCAATTGCATAAGCCTCACCTCAAGGGGACAAGATCCATTGTTTAAAACAAATTGATGACCTTCAGCGAATCCTTTTCCCCAAATATGCAAAGCCCAATATCATTACCCTTGGCCTTTCCATTACTGAGTCAGACTTTCCCTTACTTAGAAGAATTTGTTTAAAGATTTATTAACACATTTCAACAGACTTGGTAGCACTTCTTCCCAGCATGTTACAGGCTAAATATCAGTACTCTGAGCCTTTCAGGTATTGAGAAGTTGTTTGAAGTGAAAAGTTGACGCCAGACGGACGCTGGATGCCATATCCTTTGGGCCAGGTGAGCTAATAAGATTGATTTAACATCAAGAAATAGATAGATAAATAATTCAATAATACAAAGAGCTGACATGTATAGTTTTATTGAGGTTGAAATGTAAACATGATGTTCTCAATGACAATTTTGTGACAGATACATAATATACCTAAATAGGTATAATTAGGCAGATACATGATTACTTGCACTGCTGTTATGTTTCAGAATAAAATCAGTTTCTTTAACAGTTGTGACCTTGGTCACTTGTCATCATAATAACATAGAACATCAAGAAGTCAGTTGATAACATTTTCAGATGATATGGTAAAGATGAGATAATTAATCATTTGCGTGTATGAAACAGATCTATGATGAAAGATAAAAATAAATCTTATTTTGGTTTATATACTAAGAGAACACTGTCCTTCCTCATTCAATATTTCATATTCCCTTATTTTCCTGAATGTAATTTTTTTTCAGTGGTTTAAACTACTCCAATTACTTATAGCCTTCTCTGTTATATAACTGTATTCCTACTGAGCAACACGATATCCTGTAGTATACAGGTTTTTACCATCAATCAGCCATGCCTTTTATTAGCCGCACACTGATTAGTCTCTCTTAGATTCAAATCACTCTGTGAAATCATGGTCAGAAAATGAAATGCTATGCATTTTCCACAGTCAATTAAATTCCAATTATGCTGTTCTGTTCAACACAAAGGAAATACAACAACATACAAAACAATTGTTGACAATGCCCGTTTCTACACGGCAATGCCTATACTGTGTCTGTCTCTTAAGCACATCCATTATGATCAAGCGTTGATTAAGTGTTCAACTGGATCTGAGTGACTGTTATGTTTAATCTGAGTCACTGTTACTCTCTTCACTACCACTTTCTCCCTCCAGAACATCAATAGAGAACTTGTATTCTTGATCACATCCCATGTAGGCATCACTCATAAAGAAGATGGTGTAGTTGTACTTTCCTGGAGTGGGTGCCACAAAGTCTAGTTTTACTTTGGCTTTCTGCTGCAGGGTAAGCCTCTTAATCGACAACAAGGAATTGTTTTTGCTGTCCCCAATAACAACCCACCAGCCTTCCTCTCGTTTCTGTCAGGAAAATCGATATTTGTTACGAAAATCAACAAACATGAGCAGAAAGCAACCAAATTTAACTAGAATCACTTACTTCATTTTCTTAATTTGAAATTAAGCCATGCAAACATTGTGAAATTTGAATGAAGTAAAGCAGTGCCATGCTTGTAATCTGAATGATAGTTAACATAAATTCAAACAAACACATTTTGATACTAGCTGAAGTAAGCCTGTGACTCTGCCATATGTAAAATGTCAGTTATGCTCCAAAACACAGCTGAAAATCATATATGACTTTGAAAAACTCAAATGATTTTGATTTGTTAGTTGAGAGTATTTTGAAAAATATCCTTAGCAGCACACCATGTGTGTTTATTTGAGACAGAGATCTTAGGCTCCTACAGCTAACCACTTACCTGTGGAAAGAACGGCGCGATCACTGGTCCCGTTAGTTCATCCTCTCTCTCCAAAGTAGCAACCACATTCACAGCAGAACCACTGAAATTGTACACAATATATAAATATGAATACATTTTTTACTTTGATTGTAATGATAAAACATTTATTTTAATGTATCATGAATGAAGTGAAACTATTGAGAAAGACCAAATTGAAGTTATAAACTTAGTGATAAATATTGTAATTGTGCAGAAAATCTAATAGTGTCATAGAATGAAGTTTTATCAGGACTAATTAATGGTTATACCTGTGGATGCTATCTTTTTCCATAACCTCGTAAGTGAGCTCTATGTTGGGATAACGATTACAGAAGCGAGCCACATCTGCCATCTGATCCTCTGTTAGTTGTAATAATGAAGTTCTCTCCTCATCCTCCATCTCCATCACATCAAACACACTCTCTATGTTCTGTGGAGAAAAAGAATATACATCAACACACAAAAGTCTCCATGATCTTATGAATCCAAAACATTACAAACTAAGGTGGTTGTCAGATATATCCAATATATATCATCCACACAAAGATTCTAGCAGGTCAGATCCATCAAGCAAAGGCTTAAAATGAGTAACTCTACATACAAAAAGCACTATAACAGGATGAACTTATAACCCCTTTAAAGTTTTGACAGGAAGGTTAAAACACACACACAGTTCTGTAGCTGGAAACAGCTTCAAAAAAATAATCACTGGTGCAAAGATTATCAGGCAACCAAAGAAATTGTAAAATGAAATGCATTGTATACATGTAATTTTTCAAAATTTCATAAGTATATATGATTAATCAATTTTCAATAAGCAAAATTGTTTAACTTCCTACAGAAGCTAGAAAAGGCTTTCCGTGGTCTACCTGTTTTTGTGAAAATTTTAATTCAATTTCTTGAGGAGAATGCCCTTAACTCTGGAACAAGTGAATTGACCATAACGGAATTGAAACTTGACCTGCATATAATTATTGTACAACTACATACAACAGTTCTATATCTGTATCAGTTAGAAAGTATATGAGCAAAAACAATATGACAGAACAAAAGAAAGATGGACAATGGTAACACTATAAGTCCCAGACTAAGCAATGGCAAGGGCATATTAGAGGATACTCACCTTCTCTGTACAGCGTTTGATGATATCTTGTGAGAAGTGTGGCAGTTGTTTCAGGTATGAGTCCTTACTCCACATGGCCTGGGTCACCATCTGAGCAAGCTCCATAGCAGCTAGGGCAGGAGTCAGCCAGCCATTACTGGATAGTACGTCCACACAGGCTTGAATCAGGCGGATAGCCTGGAGACAAATGAAAGTATAGAATTAAACTAATGTTTGTGATATAGAGTATCCACACAAAATTGGGCCACAAAATAATTAAATAGCTGAGCATCAAATCATGAAAGAATATACCTATAATCATTTTATGTAACACAATGGGAATAGGAGTCAAATATGTGTCAAGGAACAAATAAAGGTGAAGTTTTCTTAAACAGTACTCCAAACCTGATCTTCAGGGTAGTTACCTTGCTGAGAATGTCCTCAGTGTCAGACAGAAGCTCAGCAGACAGTTGCATGCGAGACAAATGTGCCTGGAGAAGGAGATAGGTCTTCACGTGGGGGTCATTGTATTTCTGTATGGCCAGCTTGTTCGGCAGTCTGGTTGACAGCTGAAGGTAAACAGTACAAGTGTCAACTTCATTTAATTCCTATCTGTAAACCAATCCTGATCTCTGAAGTCTTGAGACTTTAAATTTCTATTAGGAGAAAGATTGCTACACATAATGTAAATGAATTAATTTAAGCCTGTATTACATACAAAGGATCACCGTTATACCAATGAAATATATAGAGAAACTAATGGTTTGACATACAAAAATGATGGGCAGCCAATACTATAATCAGATCAATGTAGTATACCTGTTTGAGTATTGTATCTTCATGATGACGGATTGCTATATCCTCATACTCTGCAGCATTAGAGATGATCTCCAACAAGCCTTTCATCTTTGTCTTTGCGTTCAGGGAAATACTGAATGTTTCTGTTAACAAAGAGATCATCAAAAAAATTATGAAATAAAAGGAGTTTATTTAACTACAGAAAACATCAGTTCCCAGACTGAGAAGTATCATATGGATGGGATGGTATGGTGTCAGCATATGTAGGAGCTTATTTGTAGAGTTGTAGGTTGATATCATTCAATGACTGATTAGTGTTACAAGTGTGTCGGAGTGGTAAGATGTAGAAGTGTCAAGCTGTGGTGATGGTATGGTGTAGGAGTGCCATGGTGTAGGTGTATAGTGTTGAGTAGTGTTGAGTGGTGTGAGATGGTAGAAGTGTCAAGCTGTGGTGATGGTATGGTGTAGGAGTGCCATGGTGTAGGTGTAAAGGGGTATAGTGTTGAGTTTGGGTGTGAGAGTGGTATGATGTAGAAGTGTCAAGCTGTGGTGATGGTATGGTGTAGGAGTGCCATGGTGTAGGTGTAAAGGGGTATAGTGTTGAGTTTGGGTGTGAGAGTGGTATGATGTAGAAGTGTCAAGCTGTGGTGATGGTATGGTGTAGGAGTGCCATGGTGTAGGTGTAAAGGGGTATAGTGTTGAGTTTGGGTGTGAGAGTGGTATGATGTAGAAGTGTCAAGCTGTGGTGATGGTATGGTGTAGGAGTGCCATGGTGTAGGTGTAAAGGGGTATAGTGTTGAGTTTGGGTGTGAGAGTGGTATGATGTAGAAGTGTCAAGCTGTGGTGATGGTATGGTGTAGGAGTGCCATGGTGTAGGTGTAAAGGGGTATGGTGTTGAGTTTGGGTGTGAGAGTGGTATGATGTAGAAGTGTCAAGCTGTGGTGATGGTATGGTGTAGGAGTGCCATGGTGTAGGTGTAAAGGGGTATAGTGTTGAGTTTGGGTGTGAGAGTGGTATGATGTAGAACTGTCAAGCTGTGGTGATGGTATGGTGTAGGAGTGCCATGGTGTAGGTGTAATGGGGTATTGTGTTGAGTTTGGGTGTGAGAATGGTATGACGTAGAAGTGTCAAGCTGTGGTGATGGTATGGTGTAGGAGTGCCATGGTGTAGGTGTAAAGGGGTATAGTGTTGAGTTTGGGTGTGAGAGTGGTATGATGTAGAAGTGTCAAGCTGTGGTGATGGTATGGTGTAGGAGTGCCATGGTGTAGGTGTAAAGGGGTATAGTGTTGAGTTTGGGTGTGAGAGTGGTATGATGTAGAACTGTCAAGCTGTGGTGATGGTATGGTGTAGGAGTGCCATGGCGTAGATGTAAAGGAGTATAGTGTCTGATTGGTAATGATTAAGAGTGGTGTAGTGTAGGGGTAGTGTGGTGTAATTCAAGTGTTAGGTGGTTTGGCATGGGGATGGTGAGGTGGAGAGATGGGATGGTGCAGGGTTGGTGTAGTGTATGGGGTATGGTGAATGGGTGGTGTGTTGAGGTATGACATGGAGATGATGAGAGACAACAGACTTACCTATAGTTGTATAGTTGATGTAATAGTAAGCTGCAATCATTCCCAGGTTGAGCGGCGTTACATCCATCTCATCTTCTACACTGATACACTGAAAATTTACATATATACATCACATTAACACTGAAAATTTACATATATACATCACATTAACACTGAAAATTTACATATATACATCACATTAACACTGAAAATTTACATATATACATCACATTAACACTGAAAATTTACATATATACATCACATTAACACTGAGAATTTACATATATACATCACATTAACACTGAAAATTTACATATATACATCACATTAACACTGAAAATTTACATATATACATCACATTAACACTGAAAATTTACATATATACATCACATTAACACTGAAAATTTACATATATACATCACATTAACACTGAAAATTTACATATATACATCACATTAACACTGAAAATTTACATATATACATCACATTAACACTGAAAATTTACATATATACATCACATTAACACTGAAAATTTACATATATACATCACATTAACACTGAAAAGCTACATACCATATTATAGCTAATAATCACCTATACAATAATAATTGCCTGTTATCTACATAGAGGGCAAAACAAAACAGTTTTAAAATAGGCATTATTTACCCTCTACAGTGGGTTTTCATAAACATCTAATAATATCTGTCTCCCCACATTTGTTATTAACTGTGTAAACACATGACATCTCACCTTTGACTGTTCAAGGTCATTGATTGTGTTCTCCACAAGTTCTGACATGTGATCCGACAAGTGACGATGGGTAACCCCTGTAATATAAAAACATATCTCAAATGAGTCAATGTTTATCCCACATAGACCAATGTTACAGTTTTGATAAGAAAAGAATGCCTTGAATCATTCATCTCTGAATCAAACATCAAAAATATAACAATTTCCTTATGACAAGACAAAGATTTAATGATGTTTTCTAATGGTAAAACTGTTCATTACAACATCAATATTTCAATTTTCAAAACCAAAAAACACACAAAAAAACCAAACAATCAAAAATTCTACATACATTGTCCCTTGCCTAATTCTAATTACATGCATAGTTTTTATCTATTACACACAGTAAACATGTTGTCATAACCTAGTAAACATGTTGTCATAACCTAGTAAACATGTCATTATACACAAGATATCATGTCATGATATGCTAGTTGACATGTAGTTATACACCAGTTAACATGTCCTACCTTGAAGATTATAATAGTTGGGGTTTTGGGTCATGCGCCTGTACACAAAGGTCCAGGTGAGATAGTCCACAGCATCTTGTTTATTTTCCACTGTCTTTGTGACAATTTCCGCACTAAAGTGATCATGTAGACAGTGGTCTAAATGACTCTACAAGGAAAAAGTATCACATGCCAACAATTAATTAGATATCAAAATAACCAGGTCAGCTGAACATGGATTAAAGATAACATATTTGTTAAGATGTTTTTTACCAATGAGATTATACTGAAAACAGAAATTAAGGTAAACATCAACATACCTCTACTGGCAGTGGTTCGTACAAGAACTTCTTGAAGAATTCTTTCTTTGAACTCTGGCAAAGAATAACTGCTTTTCCTGAAATAAAAAAAAATAATAACTCTTATGGTTGTACTAATTTTGTTAAGTCCAATTTTTGAAGAGTTTCAAAAACTTGTCTTTTCTGACCTGTATTCTCTCTCATACAAATGTTACATCAAAAGTGATGTCAAAAATTAATTCTCGAATAACTCTTTTTTTTGAGAGAAAAATACAACAGTCCAAGTTTACACAGGCTGATCTAACAATAATTAATTTTAAGGTTTTGGTATCAATGCACAATTCAGTTGATAAATCAAATACCACACTAATTCCAAAATAACACAGAACAGTTGTTAAACTAGAGTGTAAATTAATGTCTGGAAGGGCTTTGGATTGTGTTAGACCCTAAATCTAAAAGTTACTTTGAAATCAAATTTTTATATATTACTTCACGGACACAATAATTTGCCTGTGGAATATAAAAGTTTCAAATTTGACCTCCACTTGTGACCTTCACCTCTATTCAGGCAACTTCTCATCTGATTTCAAATAATCAAGCTTTGTCATAAAAAAATTTTTACCAGTAAAGTATTAGAGTTGACTTCAATCTTAAGCCTAAAATGTTTGTCTTAAAAGTATTCTAAATTTGTGACCTTCACCTTTGACCTGATGACCCTGACTTGCAGTCAGCTTAATCAAAAATTGATTTAATTCAACAACACTTAATTAATGTCATAACCAATTATCTGCGAAGATCATATTTTGAATTTGACATTGTTATTTGACCCGATTACCTTAACTGTATTCCGGGTACTTCTCGTCTGATTTAAGCCAATCAGGCTTTACGTCATAAGTACATTTCCCAGTAACATTCAGATACATATATTTCATTGTATAAACCTATTTTTATCATACTCAGCCTTTGATCTCTAAGCAAAACTGAAAAAAAAAATCGAAAAAACAAAAAGAAAAAAAATTGAGAGCTAGCATTCCTGTGAAGAAGCAATGGAGAGAGTCGCTAAGTGTTATTGTCCAAAATGAACTGAAGATATTTTACAGAAACTAATTTTCTATTTATAGCTGTTGAGACCTTGAACATTGACCTCATGACTTCAAAATTCAATCCCACACAAGCAATTCCATCAAAGAAGCATTGGGAAAAGTTTGAGTGCAATCGGTTCAGCACAACTTGAGATATTGTACCAAAACAACAAAATGGACATACAGACAACCTGATCATTTTACGACACTCTCATCTTCAATCTGGGGCCCTAACAATTTGATATTTAACTTGCCTAAAAGCTTGTGACCTGAACATCTTTCTAATTCCATTTTGAAATTCCTTATTGACAAATATAACTGCAAAGTATTTGAGCCATTTTCTTCATTAATGGTGACAATAATCTCACTCAAAGGAAAATGTGCAAGGAGTAAGTATCCAATGGACGTAATACCTGATTACAGAAATATATAACTGGACTTGTAAAAGGAATATTATGTCACCTCTGGTGAAAAATCTGAGTAATCTTAATAATGATAATGCAACTTTTCATAGTGTCTTAAATACATATCCTCCTGAAATATGTTCTATTACCTTCCTGATCCAAGGCGGGTCTGTTAGCTCGACCAATCATCTGCAGCACATCAGTCACAGGGTAATCCTCATACCTACATGTGACCATGAAAAAAAATCACTAACTAAATCTTGTTATGTAAATCTCTAGATCAAACATTTAAATATCACAGTTTCACCACATTAACATAAAAACATGTATTTATTTCAGTGGTAAGTCTCTATCTTAGAGAGCAACTTCTTTACCTACATTTTTTCTCTACACATAGACAACAAAAAATATAAATGTAATCAATTTATAAACCATGTTGGGTATTTCATTTGCCAGTATTTTACAACTTACGAATGACTCTTTCCGTCGTAGTACTGTGTATCCATGACAACAACCAGGTGACTTGAGACATTCATACCCCAGGAGAGATTGCGGGAGGCAACAAGTACCTGTACAGCTCCACTAGAGAACAAAGTCTCCACAACCTTCTTCTCTATGTCTCCTAGCCCTTCGTGTAGGTAGCCCACCCCGTTACTCAAGGTCTCCTTCAGGGTCTGATTATCAAGTTTTACAACAGTTATAAACATTCTAAGATGATACTTATATGATAGACCCATCAAGTACATTTCCTGACCAAATCAAGTATATCAAACAGTCTCAGTTATAATCAAGATATTAGTTTCAATTCAGTCTAACAAACCTTTTTTATATGTATATATCAATCATATCTAGATGCTTATTTTCATACTTATGACATGTAACAAAATTTATTATCAGAACTTTCAATTTTAACTTCTGCAACTTAACAGAGTGGCGAAATTACACACATAACTAAGATAATTGCGTTTTTTTTTATTTCTTTTCTGATAACTTTTTCAACAACTTGTAATTGACACTTGTACACAGAACTACACACCTTGTCGGTGACTTTCTCCAGGAATGGCTGAATATCTTCCTCTTTGACATGAAGAAACCTGCTCCTTGGCATGTCACTGTCTGGTTGGATTTCTGCAGCACTGAATGTCAGGATATCTATGGCTGTCAGCCTCGTCTGTTTCCGTGATGGTACAAAGATGATCACAGGTTTTTTAGGGGCATGGCGAATGATGGCCTGGTAGGCTGGTTTAGCCATGGCAACAATACGGGACGCATTGTGACTGGTGTTGAAACCCTGGAACATATCAATTGTAGAGTTGTGTTACAAGTTTCTGTGATACACAAAGTTATGTTGTTTATTCAGATTTATAAAGATGTAACTAGGTTTATAAAGGTATAACTACAATAACACAGGACAGACATTGAGGGAATGGAGTTATACCAAACCGTTTATATAGCGATGAACCAGTATATTACTTACCCGTGTAAGTAACTCCAGAAATCAGTTATGACATTAAGGTGAGGATGTAGACAACTTACCTGTATGTGTAACTCAAGAGGTACTGGGCGTACATTTGGGTGGAAATTGAAGAATCCAGTGGCACTGCATCCTAACCACTGGGACACATCCTTTGCATTGGATAGTGAGGAGCTCAAAGCCACGATACGAATGTTGATACGCTCCAACTGAGAGGACATGTATCGCATGCGTGAACAGATTACCTCCAACACAGGCTGAAAAAAACGATAATTATCTTTGAATACAGATCACCTCCATTTGAGGCCCAGGGGTGATAATCATTATTTACATACAGATCACCAACAATACAGACTAAAACAAGCGATGATCATTATATAGCATCCAAAACAGACTGAAACAGGTGATCGTTTTCATCTAGTTACATACTGCCTCCAATACAGGCTGAAATAGGTGATAATTATCATTATATACATATAACCTACAGAGGATGAAGAGACATATGATCATAAAATTACAACCAAATTACTTCTAACACAGATATTAGTTTTATAAACTGTATTAAATATGTATATGTAGACTGAAGTAAGAGATAAATAATTTAAATCTAGTACAGGCCTAAATAACAAATCATTAATTTTCCGTTCCAGTTTGTATACCTTACCCCAACATCTACTCCAATGAGGTGAAGCTCGTCAACGATAAACAAGTTCACATTCTGAACATTCTTTCTCTGTTTCCATCGCCGTGACAACACATCCCACTTCTCGGGGGTACTGATGATAATATTACCCTAGAAACAAACATGTTTAAGGACTTAAGATAAATTACTCAAAAAGGAACATGTTTAGTTACTAGACTATATCAACCAGGAGACAACCTAGGTCTCTGTATTCAACATAAGATGTACATACACATTCTGTCTTTTTTCGTAATACAGAGTTGTCTGCTCCTGTGAGTGGGTATAGACTGTTACATCATTCATTTGAGAGAGTATCTTCATGAGAAAACGACACCATTTTCTCATGCAAACTAATGACGTAACAATCAATACCCGCTCTTTGCATTACAATAAAATGGAGTAAACTGACAACCAACTGCTTCAATTAATACATGTTCTTTCTCTATGAGCCATAAATAACACATTTTATACCAGTATTTACTTTCATATCTAGGTTTACTACAACTACTACAACTAGTACCTTGGCCAGAAGTTTCAGGTCAGTTCCTGTCTCCCCTGTCAACAGGACCACTTTCTTTCCCAGGTGTCCTCCAAATTTGGCCTGCCAATCATTGTACATCTGAAATATGAAAGGGACATCTCTTATTACTCTCAGTGTTTCAGGAATATACAATATCTCAAAAGTCTGGTACCGGATAGAAATGACAAATTCCTTTGCATTTTTCTCAATAATCATAAACCAAAATGTTTCCTACTATTTCCCAATGGAGCAATATTTGTATTTGTGTGTTCAACAATCACATCATCATTGATGAGTGTCCACTCTAATGTCCTATACTGGTTATGTGACTGATATTACATACTTAATACTTATACATCAACAAGATGATCGGAGATATATAGCTTACTTGTTGAGCCAGGGCCTCGAGTGGTGTAACATACACACAGCGGCCGTCTGGGTTCTGGGAGAACATACGTAACATAGCAAACTCTCCACAGATGGTCTTTCCACTACCAGTGGGTGCCCCGATAAACACATTGTCATCACTATTATATACCGCGTTGAACACTATAATGGAAAATAACATAATACCATAATAATTAATCAGACAAAATACTACAACAGTTACCTTGATACAGAATTTTTAAAAAATCACAATGGCTAATATTTCCCTGATCTATTTATTATAGTTAAATGGTATGGTACAGTCAAGTTTACTTTCAAGACAACAGGGTTTAAAAATTATGATAAAAATTATCTATTATCTCAAAATCTCAATGATCATAGTTTGCATATAATCTAATATTGACTACCTTGTGTCTGTATGGGGTTAAAGAATGGGAACTTGTCATTGTAGAGCCCCTCAAATGCTGCATTCCTAAGGGCAGACACTGGGAGGGGCTGGAGATCCAGAAGTTCTGTGGGAGGTGGGTACTTCTCAGGAAGGATGAGGTGACGAAAAGACACAGGAAGTTGTGTCTCTGATCCTAACCATCGATCTGATATCACTCTGATAAAATACTGTGGAGGCAGAGGCTCAAATACTGGTACAAAGAACTTCACAGTGTGTTCATCCTGCGCAAATTTACTGTAAAACAACCCAGGTAGTTTTAGTGTCATGCATCAAAGCTCCTGTAGGCAGCAAGCCTTTCATTTCTTTATATAGTTTTTTAAAGTATAATTTTAACAACCACTACGAAATATTATCTTACATTGTGTTTCAAAAATAGGTTTTTGCTTTTATGAAATATCTCTGATATTATGATGTGGAAATAGACATCACAAAGGTTCCTTTCAAGACAATATTTTCCATGTCATATAAACAAACCTTTTGAGAAGGAAGTACTCGTGATGTAAAATGACTTCACTGTCAACGTCTTCTACTAATATCCAGAATGCCTGCAAACAACACACAAAGTATGTAAATATTTTCAAAGCCTTACAATTCCAAGGCTGAATAGTTAACTAAGACAAAACATTTAACTTACTTTTACAAATTTTAGGAACAATGTTACTAATGGTTCACTTCATTGATTTACACTTGAAAGCTGACCAAATATTAATTCCTTATTCCAGTGATTACTGTTCAGCAATCTCAAATAACTAAGAAATAAAAACCAAGAAATATCAACAACAGAATCTCTCATTAAAAACCACATAGTTTCTTTTTTCGTTTTCTGTCTTGGTAAGTTGAAATCTGTATTTACCTCAGAGTTTCCATGGATCTTTTCCTCCCACTGAAAGTCTGGTGTTATGGTCAGTTCTACACGCAGTGTTGACCGCGTGATGGGCTGGACATGGACAGATAACTCCAGTTTGGGAAACTGATGTACATTCTTGTGAATGGTCTTACCGCTCTTGGGAACACGGATAAGCTCAGCAATCTCATGGGGGTTCAGATCGTACAGACGCTCAAAGGGAAAATTCTTTTTCTCAATTTTCTTTATCACTTCAATAGGCATTTTTTTGTCTGCAAATTGTCGCAGAGGGCACATGGACTGCCACCTGTATATATATAATATAACTCCATCATTACAGTGATCCATGATGAAGTTCATCAGTTATTTGTCAAACTGGTTTTCAAAAATTAAGCAGGCCACTTTTAAAATCATGTGATATCAAATGAAATGTATATTATTCACAGGAGCTGAAAATTACTAGATTTTTTTTGTTAGACAACATCAAAGGAAAGCAATCAACACTGAATTATGTTAAGTCTAATTATATGATGAATAAAAAATTCAAAGGACCCTACAGGAAGTGTTCAACATGCTCCATATAACATTCATATCCTGAACATATTAATACACTTAAAACAGATGTTCATAGATGACTTTTTTTGTTGTATGTATGTAAGTAAATGTCATGAAAATTTGATAATTAAGATAAAACTTACATCCGCTTGGTAACCATCTTACAGAGAGCTAGACACTTGTCAGCAAGCTGGGCCCAGCCTCTGTGTAGGACAATCTCAAACATAGCACGCATCAGACGGCCAGCAGACTGGGTAATGAACACCATGTCAGACATCAGGGCGAATCCCTCCAGTTTTAGTTGTGATATGTAAGCTTGTAGCAGTACGTTCACCTGAAACAAAGATGGGCCATACAAACAAGTCTGATATATCAAATATCTATAGCAATATATACTCACATTGTTGATTTACATATGCATTCCCATTAAATTTTCAAATTTAACGGAATTTTAGATTATGTCTGTTCCCCCTCAAAAATAAAGCAAAACTGTAAAAATTCTTTATAAATTTCATATCAAATAAATGGAACAAAAACACTTTTAGGTATAATCAATAAAACAATAGTTTAAGTCGAATTATTGGTTCTTTGGCATCTTAGTAGCAGATGAGGAACTTAAGCAGATTGAAGAAGTATACTAAATCAAACCGAACGCCAATTTAAAGGAATTTTATTTTCTAATTCAAAAATAACCCCTGGAAAAAAATCATGTTGATAGACAGGACCAGAAACTATGATTTCTATCATGCAAATATTTTTTGATGCAGAAAAACAATAAGAAGTGGATTCTTGACCAAAAGATCAAATTGTATCTGTTATATTCAAATAAGTATCAATAGACATACCTTTGCACTGGGTTCCTCTATACTTTCCTTGATGGGGATTGGGACTCTCTCCAACAGCTTCAGCAGCTCTAACTTCTCTTCCTGTTAGATAAAACATTTACATACAATATCTAGCCATGAGGTGTTAATGGGATTTCTTGTTCATAACCTTGTACTTTAAAAGTGGTCAAGGGTAACTTTTTAATCTCATTAGGTATTAAACTTGTACTAATACTATGGTTACAGTGTGTGTGTGCTTAAGCAGTCACCTTGCACACAGCTTTCTTTATCACTTTGTAAAGTATAGAGCAAGACCCAAAAATCCAATTGATTTGAATAAAATAGATATTAAAATCCTGTGCTTTATTTTTAATATCCTACATTAATGATCCATTCTCTGTTTTGAATTAAAAAAATAGTGCAACATTCCATTGAAAATATACATTATGCTCAGCCATTAAACCACTGTTTTGTTTAACAAACACTTACAAACTGTTAGAAGAAAATAGACAGAATTTTTCAGCACCAACTTATCTCTGCCATACCTACCTCTCTGACATTGATGTACTTGAACTCGGAGGACAATGAGAACACACGAAACAGTTCAATCTCGCTGAGTGTCGGCTTCAACAGCTGATTGTACACAGAGATTGTCTCATGTGTACAGTAATAGTGACTTGCAATACGACCAAGCTCTGTGACCTAAAAGCATCAAATTATAAATAAGATATCAATTTATAAATTTTCACTACCCAAAACCATTCCACTTTAAACTTCCAGGAACAATCACTTTTATATAAAGACATATTAATTTTATCATTTAATAGCAAAAGTATTAAATTGATATGGATTCAAATTTAATATCCAAATACAAACAAACCTCATTTGATAATTTACTAAGGTGAGCTCATATGAATAATTTGCTGATCCAATGCATACTCTTTCCTAACAGGAAACTGAAGGTAACCTTAGAATTATTTCTAAAGAGCAAAATACTACGCATGATCTTTTTAACTAGGTAACTGAAACAAATCCTACCTGGAACTGTCCTGTCTTCTTGTCATATTTAACAAGGTTGTTTTTATCTAGTAGGACAGCTGCTGTGTGGACGAGATCTTTGCGTCGTTGTTGCAATAAAGGGTCATCTCTCAGCTGATCATGGCTTATACCATATAGGGATGACGAGCGTAGCATACGAATATACAGGTAGGTATAGCCTATAACACAACACAAACACAGCACAGGTTAAACGATTACTCTCAGAAATAGTCCAAAAATTAGCTATACACACCAAGAAAGTCAACACATATACATGTCAGTCAACACATATACAAGAGCTTTACAAGCAAGTCAACACATGTTAACCAAAATCTGAAAAGTTAGTTAACTCATATATAAGAGATATACATACCCAGCTAGTCAACACATATACATATCAGTCAACACATATATATGTCAGTCAACACATATGTATGTCAGTCAACACATATACATGCTAGTCAACACATATACACGTCAGTCAACAAATATAAACACATATACATATCAGTCAACACATATACATGCTAGTCAACACATATACATGCTAGTCAACACATATACATGTCAGTCAACACATGTACATGTCAGTCAACACATATACATGTCAGTCAACACATATACATATTAGTCAACACATATACATGTCAGTCAACACATATACATATTAGTCAACACATGTACATGTCAGTTAATAAATATACATGTCAGTCAACACATATACGTGTCAGTCAACACATATATGTCAGTCAACACATATACATGTCAGTCAACACATATATATGTCAGTCAACACATATACATACCAGTCAACACATATATATGTCTGTCAGCACATGTATAAGAGATATATATATACCAATTAAACAATTGTACAGGGGAGATACACATACCCAACCATTTATATTGTACAGGGGAGATACACATACCCAACCATTTAACAATTGTACAGGGGAGATACACATACCCAACCATTTATATTGTACAGGGGAGATACACATACCCAACCATTTATATTGTACAGCGGAGATACACATACCCAACCATTTATATTGTACAGGGGAGATACACATAGCCAACCAGTCAACAATTGTACAGGAGATACACATACCCAACCATTTAACAATTGTACAGAAGATACACATACCCAACCATTTATATTGTACAGGGGAGATACACATACCCAACCATTTATATTGTACAGGGGAGATACATACTCAACCATTTAACAATTGTACAGAAGATATACATACCCAACCAGTCAACAGCCTCTTTGACATTCTGTACTGTGCCAAGTACAATTTCAGCATTCAAGCAGTCAGCTAGTTTTGAAATAAATTGGCTCTCAATAGGTAACTGGAATAAAAACACATTAGTTATGTACAGATAAAATATCCACAAAACTTCAAAGCTGAACAGCATTCCACGAACAAATCATTATTATATTTGCCATATACCATAACTATTGTTTCTGGGAAAATTATCAATTTGCTGCAAACTTCATTTTCCATATCAAGAACATTAATCTTATACCTAACAGGTTAATTAACAGAAAACTGATCAGAACTTTGAGATATTAAAGGAAACCACACCCCACCATCACTTTTTGTTTCTATATGTAAAACATACCTGCTGGTTCATTAGGGACAGGTAGTACTGTAGCTCGCTGTGATTTGTTATCATCACTCCCTCTCCCTTAGTGTCAAACTGGGGACGACCAGCTCTGCCCATCATCTACAACAGTAAGTATAAATATACAGTCACAAAGTCAAACTGGGACCAACCAGCTTCATCCATATCAACAGCAGTAAGTTTAAAATAAAGTCACAGAGTCAATCTGGGGATGACCAGCATGACCCATCATCTACAACATTACAGTCACAGGTTAATACCGGTAAGTATAAAATATATTCACTGTTAAACTGCAGATGAAGAGCTTGACCTTTTCTCTAAAACACTAAGTATAAAATATGAATTCTGACAAAGCGAAGAGAAATAAGTTGATGCATTACGAGGAAGCTAAATAACTCTATGTAATGAACAGATTTTGGAAGCTGCTGACTTCAGAACATCATATAAGCCCTAGACGAAGTGACACATTCTCTACACTGATTCAGTCTTCCCTCCTTCCCTCACAGGTAGAATTGAAGGGGAACAATTAAAGTTGTACAAACCTGCATGACATCAAGTGCACTGAGTTCTACCCAGCGTCCCTTTTCTGCACTGTAAACCTGTGTTCCCTTGATGATAACAGTGTGAGCAGGGAGATTCACTCCCCAAGCAAGTGTCGAGGTAGACACCAACACCTGTATATGACGATCCTTAAACAAGTCTTCCACCAAGATACGATCAACTCTGTGGAAGAAAATTGTTTAAACTGAAAAAAATCTAGAATATTCTTGAATGGTGTACTTTATGGATCTTGCATTGATTCTGACAAAAATTACATCTCTGTGCTTCAGAAAGTCTTTTCTGTCTGTTTACTGTGATAATGTACACCAACTTTCTTTAGAGGTTACTTCTATACCACAAGTTTGCCAGGATTAAAATATTTTGTAATGTTATATCACTATTGCAAAATCACGCTTAAGTGACATCACAGCAGTATACAAGGCAAAGTCAAAACAGACAATCAGAGAACTTCCTTTTCCTTATATTCTCATAAACATTAAATATTCACTGAACTTGGCAGATTCCATATTACATTGACTTTCATGTCAGGTTCTATAGGAATAGTTCTAAAATTTTTCTTCAGTTTAGGAAATAAAATTTCAATATGCAATGTTACGAATGTGTTTTGATCATTGTTAAACTTACTTAGTCATGCCAGCATGATGTATTGCAAACCCATAGGGCAGCAGATCTTTGAGTTCCAAGTTCTAAAAATAGAAATAGAAATTGTATCAAGGAAATGCTCCTGTTAAAGGTAGGATCAGACAAACACACTAGTTATAATTTTTATCTTTTGAATTATGGCCCTTAACACCTGTGGCTTAAAGACTGATAATCAAGCTTGATATTAGAAATCATGGCCATTGTAATCAACAGCCTCCTGACTTACGACCTTATTTTATTTGTAAAGTGTACCTTCTATAAATAGCATACCTGGAGTTCTTTCCATTTATAGCTTTAACTAACGACCTACCTTAACCTGGTCAGCCTCAGTCCTCAGTACAGCTGTAGATGCTGATCCCTCCTTGAGGAACATACCCAATGTATCCTTCTCAAGGCACATATCCCTGATTGCACGGGCAGTCTTTCCTGTCTCTTTCCTTGAGTGGACAAACACTAGAACCTAATGGTAAATTATAATAGTGTATGGAGAGGGTCAACCTCAGGTTTTGTTGTCTTAAGTATGTATCTACATAAACAGTTAACTCTAGTCTCTACAAACAAGTATCACATGTATAACGATACTTCAATAACAGAAATGGCAAAGCTCAGACAAAAAACTCAGATTCATTACTTGTCAGAAATCAGGGTTCAAAATGACTCATCATCGCAGTTACCATTTCCATAATTAACTCATCTTATCTCAAAGCATCAGGACTGAAATTTTCTACCAACAACATACCTGGTTTTTGCCAGCATTTTCCATCACTTTATCATATACAATTTCATTCATGATCTGAAATCGTTTGACAGCTTTCTTTTCTGTTATTCCAATGAACTGCTGTTCCAAGGGTACAGGTCTAATGCTGTTGTCAAAGAAGAAGAGTCCCTCTGCTGGATCAACTCGCAGAAACGTAGCCACATCCTCGTAGTTAGGCAGTGTGGCACTGAGTCCGACCAGTCTGACATCCTCCTGGGTCGTTTCTATGTTCCTAATAGTCCTATAATAATACAACATGACAGAATGGTATGTCATATACACTTCTATGTGGATACAGAGTGATTGACACTTGTCTGACAGAGAAAGGATGCAGCAGGTTAATGTAAAGAAGGGCTGTTTACTTTTTACTTTTGTACAAAAGAATGACAATACAGTATGATTAAGAAACATAAGGCATGGAGTTTATGTAACGCATGTTACAGAAGATGATAATTCTGAGTGACTGATGTGACTTATGTGAAATTTGTTAATATCATCATTATGAATAAAATCTACAATCTTAAACAATGGTTCTGGAGTCTATACAAGGATGAAGGGAGGTAACTCTAATATCCTTACCTGGCAACAAGAGCCTCCAATACTGGTCCTCTATCATCGTGGAGTAAGTGGATTTCATCCTGAAATATAAAACAGAATCTAAACATCAGAATGTGTGTACAGAGTCCTTAGAAACATAGTTAGACCATAACAAAACCCATTTGGAAAGAATAGAAGGACTAAGTCTATACTTGATATAATGTGTACATAATGTATATTGCTACCTTCCAGATATTATGTCATATGTCACCTCCCTACACACCAAAAGAGAAGCTAATTGACTTACAAATATCATAAGTCTGACAAGTTGTGTGTATGTACGTTCTCCCCCTTTTCTTGTGATGATGTCCCATTTCTCTGGAGTACACACAATGATCTGTGTAGCGGAGATCTGCTCCTTGGTCAGTTGGTGGTCACCTGTTAATTCCTCTACCTTAATGCCATACGACTTCAGGCGCTGGAACAAAAATCAAACAGTTATCTTCTTGCTTTTTCAAATATTTCGAACTCTTTCCAATTCCAATAAGTATTATTCTCTTGTTGAGAACTTTTGACATTAAAGTAGAGCCCAGACTGTCAACTTTAATAAGAGAAACACAAATTAGGATTATGTACTAATATTAATATAAATGAAAAATATGTACATCCCCAGGTTATAATTCATGGGTTTATGTCTAACTTCTCCTTATCCTTCAGTAAATTTTCTCAAAGTGAATATTTTGGTAAAACAGGCTGTGAAAATAGCACCAAAATATGATGGTGAATATTTTGGTAAAACAGGCTGTGAAAATAGCACCAAAATATGATGGTGAATATTTTGGTAAAACAGGCTGTGAAAATAGCACCAAAATATGATGGTGAATATTTTGGTAAAACAGGCTGTGAAAATAGCACCAAAATATGATGGTGAATATTTTGGTAAAACAGGCTGTGAAAATAGCACCAAAATATGATACCAATTAATTCAAGTAGTTAGCACACAAGTGAAAACATCCAATATGCAGCACAGCTTTAAAATGAAAACTTTCTTTGAAATACACAGCCATTTAACTGAATCAAATTTAAAGAAATTAATAACTTTGAAAATATCAAATTCTTATGAAATGATAAACTTGTTCATTTGAACAGAAATACTTGTCAACCTTGTAGCCCCTAAATGTATTGGCTCACCACAAGCACAGGCCTATCTGTTACAACACTTGCTGGCTGACCTTACCTCTCCAAAGCTGAAAACCATTTCCTGCACGAGAGATTTCATTGGTGCAATGTAGATGATCTTAAACTCGTCTGTGTTGATGGTGTTGTCAGCATTGATGTGTTTACTGATCTCCTTCAGCATGCACATCAATGCCACATTGGTTTTACCAGCACCCTGTAATTACAAACCAAATATTAGTAACATATTGGTCAAAATTTGCACATTTGTTCATGACTAGAAGTGTTTAAGTAACAAAATTGTTGACAGATGACTGATGGTTGACTGTAGGCTTACACAGATACACTATACTGACTGCAGGCTTACACAGATACACTATACTGACTGTAGGATCACACAGTAACTCTATACTGACTGTAGGATTACACAGATACACTGTAGTGACTGTGGGAGTACACAAGCACACAATATTGACAATGGAAGCACAGAGACACATTATACTGAAATTTGGAGCACATATGCTAATCATATTGGTAAGAGAAGTACAAAAGCCTATTATGCTTACCGTTGGAGCACATAGTAGAAGGTTTTGATCTGATTCTAGCGCTGCCTTACACAGACGACTCTGTATCCGGTTCAGGTACGTGAAACCTTCAAAAGCTGGTTGGGCATATTTTGGTAGTCTCTCAATCGGCACCAGGGACTGACAAATTCAATAAAATACTGAACAGTGAGAAACTTTTACCAGTTTTTTTTTTCGATAAGGCAAAAACAACACAACAGCTAAGAAAGTTAGTTAAAGCTGAGATTTATATTGTAATGTTTTTAAGAATTTAACACTATTTATTGGGTTGCCAAAAATAATCATTAGGGAATATTTTCTTTAAAGAAAATCATATCTATTAGCATCAATTATGCAGACTTAACACTATAAATGTAATGAAAATACTAGGTCAAATGATTTGGTTGTCAATAGATTAAAGGTTTTTTCCTTCAAGTATACGTTATAGGAACATAAACTTAGTCATTGTTACTTATATATAGCACCAATACTTACCTCATCTGAATCAAATGCCTTTGGCTTGAGAGCAGGCACATGTACTTCTTCATATCCTAATAGAAAGAAAAGATTTATTGAATTTCATAAAGGTTTGTTATAAAGCCTTATACTTGTTTTAAATAGAAATGTGGTGGAAAAGAAGAATTACTACATGTATTTGTAATAATAAAGATTCTGAGAACAATCAACAAGAGGAAATTAATTTTGAATTTATAAAGACTGGGTATAAAAGATTTTAGAGCAAACAAGAATATAGCCATTTAGATTAAACCCCTACAGAAATGTGAAAAAATGTTCTATACCAATTGTGCCTTGAAAATTATTGAAACAAAAATTCAAACATAGCCAATGACCTAACTACACTTCAAGAGTAAAGCAGCCATTAAGTTTCACAAAAATATTCTCAAGATGTCTGCTCCAGAAAATTCTGAAGAACATTCATTAAATGGGGAATAACAAGTTGTATCTGTCAATGTATAGACCAACTGTAAATTAATACAGACTAGTGTTCAGTTATAAGAAGGAAAAAAGCTGTTCACAAAGGCTGATAACAAAAGGACTTTTACAATGATAGCGTTAGGAGAAAAAATTAACAGTACCTTTTCTCTGTTTCCTGAAAGAGCCGTCAGGGAGCTGACAACGTTTGTTAGCCATTAAGTGACTGCCCAAGCCAAAGGTCAGATCCTCTAGGTCAAGATTCTGGACATTCCCAAGGGATTGCTATAAGAAAATAAAGGAAAAAAAACGATTTGTTATCAAGCAGTTTTTGTGAAGAAATATAATTTCTGTCAGCAAAGATGTGATCAAAATCCTAAAGCATTAATGAAACATATGTACATCACAATCATATATCTGTTGCATTAATATCATACAAATATTTCATTATATTCTTAATTCAGTTGCCATTGTGATATGATTTTAAGGAAATAAAACATTAACACAACAACATATATTTTCTTTTTAATTAGCTTTGCGTTCTCTGTTTAATGCTTTGTCTGACAATACCTGTTGTTGGTCGATGTCCATGGCTTGTAGGTCAGCAGCCACGCGGGACTGTCGTGCCTGGTGACGACGTGCCCGCTCCTCTGACACGATATCCTCCTTGTCCGCCACCTCTAGAGCGTGAAGATACTTTGAGAGTTCTGCATCACTTGACATCTTCTCCTCAATCTTTGTTTTCTCTGTAGCTGTCTGGGCCTGGGCCAGCATTGTACAGTAGAGGACTGAAATTTGTTCAAGTGTATAGGTTTAATTCTGTCTCCTTTTTTAACCGAAATACCACAGCGACTTCTCATAGTGTTTCGAATCATACACCATACAACATCAGAAAAAAATTAAGCCTTTATAAAGTATGATGTGCTATACTGCTGTAACACGATTATAAAATGTGAACATTTAATATCACATCATCAGCCTCTTATCAAGTCAAATTGTCCATATGATATTTTTGCATGTTACTAGAGGAATATACCCTTGATCATTTAATATTTGGCTGAGCAGATTAGAAATTGACTGTGATGTCATATGAACAATGATGTTACATCGTAACCTGAAAATGGCACAAGAAAATGTCTGTCTCCATTTCATTCATAAATTTCTTTTCATTTCAAGACTCACTGAGGCTTGCAAATACATAAATTTCCTTTGACTCATTTAACAAAATCCTATATGAAACATGAAACAAAAAGATACTGCATATCATTTTATCTTACAGTCAGTCTCTTTTAGTCACTTATGTGAAATATTTCGTAAAGTTTTAATCTTTGCTTGCTAAGCTAGCAAAAGCATAAAAAAAAATTCTGAGACTTGTTTCATTAATTCTCATATAAATTGAGAACACATACATGGTCCTTTATCTATTGTTCAAATAAACATATGTAGTAATCTACACTCTCTCCATGCTTCATAATATACAGCTAGAGATACAGCAGGCTATGTTAACTTTAGTTTGCTTTAATTTTGGGTTTGACATTATTGTCGTATAAATTTTTGTTAGAAATACTCCCATGTTTTCCTAGATATGTTAAAACCTATATGATGTTCATCTTCTATAAATATTCTGTCCAAGGGAACAGACAAGTCACTTCTGAAGTCTGGTTCTCCTGCTTCCATATATTACTGGTAGAAATGAAAAATGATTCCACTTACTCATCTGCCTGAACTGTCGCAACACTTTAATGAAGTCAAATTGTGTGAATCCAAGCAAACGTACAAGTTGATTCTCTGTTTCTCTATCGTCACTGGCACTCTGAAGAAGAGAAAACAAGAATAAGAAATTGAAATATCCAGCATCAAATATAAAAAGACAGAAGGTCTGTAAAATCTTTCTCATAGATTAAAATCTTATTTGTAAATAATATGGTAACAGAAATACTGATTGAAAATGGAATTACCTTCAGGATTTCTAAGACCTCCTGGGCGCGGGTCTGGGCAGTCGTTGGGTCATCAGGGTAGTATTTGCTCAGTTTCCTCTGTAACCAGAATGCATCAATATCCCGAGGGTGGAGACCTGAATCTGATTTACCTCCTGCCTCATCTCCTCCAGCCAACTAAAACAAAGTGAACATAAAAACATTTTATGACAGAAAATTTTATCAGGCAGAGATACATTGTGCTCGAGAAAAAGTGATAATGAGCTTAAACTATTAAAAATTGAATGGTTGTGTTGTCCATGGAACATTCAAAGGCCTATGATGAACAACTATATAATACTTGAGAGAAAGATCTATGCTTATATTTTGATGACTCATGTAAGATTTTTTTTAAATTTCAATTTCTTCTTCCTTAGAACCTCATACAGTTAATGTTGCAAATGGAGTGGCAAGTCTTATATTTTCACCATCAGACAATACTAGGCTTATAATTTTGAGTTTTTCACACTGGTTCACACTGATCCAATATGTATGACACTCTTATGAAGTATGTATCTGAACCACAACTCACATTGGCATGTAGAGTCACATCAAGGTCAGCTTCCTCACCCTCACTTTCATCATCATCATCTTCATCCTTTATTTCTCCAAATACATCTGCATCATCCTTTTGTAGAAAAGAATCAGAGGTTGCTTAGTTTTCTGAATTATAAATCTAAATACATAGCCTGCCATTAACATAAATACAGAGCAATACTACCCTTCCCTTTACAGTTCACATGTGTAGTATCATTTCTAATCGGGAAGTTATATTTAACTACACCGGGAAAAACCATCACTCATGATAGGATATAACATTAACACTTTAAACAGTACATATGGATGACAGCTACATACTTGTCACACATTTCAAGGGACATTAAGGATAGAGAAATAAAATAGTTTCACCATTACTACCTGCATATTGATGATATGAAATTAGTCTGTTGAAGAGTTCATAAGATGTCTTGAAAAATCATTTTAGTTCAATAGTGATTAAGTTTTACCTACAACCCTTTCAACATTACCAATGACTATCAGAAGCCCAGACAAAGCAATTACTAGTATTCACACACATATACTATATACAGCATCTTAGTAGCAGAAAATGTAAGGGACCATGATATATTCATTCCACTTCAGATCAGACATGCAAATAAAAGCTAATAGATATAGCATTATAACAGTGTTTATAGCACCAGGAGATGAAATAGTCTAGAATGTCCTTACCTCATCTTCAGATTCTTCAAATTGTACATTCACACCATAAGTTTCATCTATGTTCTCATCTATAGGAATGAAAAAGGGAAATATATTTAAGGCATCTGTCATTCAGAATTAGTGCATGAAGCAAGGGCCCTGTCTAGAATATGCATCCTCAACAATCACAAAGAAGACAAAGTAATCATCACAATTTCAAGCTATGGGTCATAGGTTAAACAAAATTTGACCTGCTTTTACAACCTGGAAATTTCTTGGACCCATCCACAACTGAAAATACACTTCATCATGTAAAGTCATTCTAATATCTTGGCAAACTACTACACATGCATTTATACTACTTTGTTTATCTGACTTAATACAATGCTTTGCTGCCTTTTCCTTAAAATTCAAGTGCTCAAGTGTTCAGGAGCATGATTCAAACAGCTGAACTGAATGAGAATAACTGAATCAGAAAGTAAACAAACATAACATAAATTTTTTTCCATATTTCTTTTAAATTATGAATTCTTCTAATTAATGGGTTCAAACACTTTTCAAGGATAGCTTGAGAAATACAAGACTTTTCAAGGACATCCTAGTTCTAAAACACTGTCCAGGAATCACAGAGCTTTATACACTTTTCAAGGTCTGTACAATCCATGGGCTCAAGTCAAGTCAAAATGTACCCACCAAGCAACAAATGCTACCAGATTTTCTACAAGTGGCTACATTATAGATGATCAAATGTTTTCAACAAGTAATGATGGCTTCTGAACAGAGTCCCACATAAGTAGAACAGATGTTTCTTCGTCATCTAAGAAAACCAAAATTAAATAGAGAATGTCATACAAAATATCAACTTCAAGGAATTATTAATGAACTATAGTCTTCCTGGGATTCTTGTAACATTGGTCACATATCTATCTATAAACAAGGTATTTAACATAAAAGATATAAATGGACTGTGCCACTCCCCTTATATCTTACCTCTCAGTGCCATTCCTTTCCGAGTCTCAAAGATAATCAAAACCAAAATTTGCTTTCATAACAACCAATATTAACACCAAATTTCTATTCTATATCACATAATGATCACTTTTTTACCTGTTTGCATCTTTTCTTCCTGACCCCAATCAGAGATTTTCTTGCCCAAATTAACTAACACAGCATAGCGTTCTTCTGGCATAGATCCAAGTAGTGACTCCACTTCTCTTTTTCGCTCCTTGTCTCTCATCTTGTCATTTTTAAGGACACTTAAAACTTCATCAACAGCACCACAAAGCACATCACGAGGCTGGTAACAAGAAAATATATCCAACATGAGTAAAACTACAACTGTCTATCTCTGTATATCCTGAAAACAACTGGTTCAATGTTGGTTGATTTTAATATTTTTGCTGCCAACATCCTTTTACTAATAACATTCCTAAAGGTTAAGCCATTCCCAACCTTTCAACAAGTGCTGTCCTTTCTTCATGGACTACGTCAGGTTGTCCAGGTCTTGAACTTTTAACAAATTTAGCTGCCATTAGCATTTCAACAGAACCATTCATTTACAATAGACTTATTGATAAATAAACATGATATCACAAAGTTGTAAACTGAGAATTATGTAGATAAAAATCATTCATAAAAATAATTTCATAGAGGTCATGATTATTTTATTTCAATGCTTCTGCTAGGTTTCAAACACGGGACCTCTTGTTTACTTGTCTTACGCTCAACCAATCTACCTTAAGAGAAGTTCTCTCTAGTGGAACAGTATACTGCAGATAGTATTTACCATGGTTACAGAGCTACAGTCTATCCAAATAATCAAACATAGCTGACAATGTCTATAAGACATGAATGTCCTCAATCTCATATAAACCAGAAATGAGAAATTGATCAGGTGTAAAACTTTAGGTTATGATAATATCAATGTTCCCACTAACTTTTCTATTTGGAGGTTTTCATACACTTATGGTTTTGCGGATTTTGTTTCTTGTTGATTTCACTATGTTACAAAACAATAAAGTAATATGATGACAAGAATCTGTTTATCAATAATATTTAATTGTGTTAACACATATCAATTTTACTAGGACAATCACTTCAGAGGAAAAAAACTTAATTGAGTTACTTTATTACATCACGACATGTACTGACATCGGTAAAAAAATTCACAACACATTGCCAGGTGTGATAATCTGAAGCATTTTTTCTATCTTTCTTTTGTCAAATCTATCAGGGTTGAAGCAATGTGCCCATAGGGCAGAGGGACAGTTGTGCTAAATCACCTAATTGGCTTCCTGTAGTCATGTAGTCAGATAGCTTAATTTTTTCTTTTTCTTTTTTATTTTACCCTCAGATCTTTCATAAATTGATGTTTCGATCATTTCTCTGGCTGTGGGTTATAGTCAGCGATATGATAAATCCAGGGAAACAAGAAAAAAACACCTAATTTGTTTGAAAAGACTTTGCCATGTTCAATGTCAACCAAATGTGTGACAATTCTTGGTCATCAAAATGCTCCAAATACCATCTGGGCCATTCAAATAGCTACAAGCTCTTAGGTGACATTAACAGCAATCTCTTGTGAGATTAATGAAAAAAAACCCATATCTTTCATTGTTTCAAGCTTATCACATTTGCATTAGAATGAAATGATTTTTTTATATCAATGTCATAGCAAATATTGGTGTGAGGAAGTCATGCAAGGGTGTAAAATCTGATTTATCTAATTTCTGAATGAATGGAAAGGTCACACTATATGACTCATTGAATCAAAACAGGACATATAATGGTGGGGCATATCGGATTGCTCAAAAAAAAATTGCAACTAGATCAGAGTATACATACAAGATACTTGTACATTTAGACATCTATTTTGTATGAATCAATCACTCTGTGGTTAAACAAAGCCCTAGGTGAGACTATGAAATTTTATGCTAATTTTGGGCATAAATAATCAACAAAATCTTTATTTTATTTAAAGCAATCCATTACTCCACCAGAACAAAAGCTTTGTTTTATTTAAAGCAATCCATTACTCCACCAGAACAAAAGCTTTGACTATATCCTTTTGTGATACCGATTTGTCAAAAAGAGGTATACATGTATAAATCTTCTCTTTTTTGAAAGCTAGAAAATTTTGGACTAGCAAAATCAAACAATGACCATAGAAAATTCCAAAACCTCAGCAAGTATATATTAGAGCATATGTATTTGAGATCACTGATCGACAAATTTTGTGTGGAAGCACTAACTTTTTCTCTGGCTAAGCACTGACAACAAAAATCATATCCTTCATAAGTTACTAGTCCTACTAAAGTCTTAAATCACTCCTCACCTGGTCACCAATGGCAGCTTGAATGAAACTGAGAATGACTTCATATGTCTGTCTCGTCTCCTGTGTTTTAGGACGATAGAGAATTCCCACTAACTCATCAACTCCATCTGATAGTAGAGTTGTTCCTTTCATTTTCATCATATCATGCTGTGCCTCATCTCGCTTGCGTCGCCTGAGAGAGAACAAAATTTAAGACACTATTTCAAAAGTTTGATGTTAAATATATTCCTTCAGGAATTATGTTTGCATTCACCAATATAATGGCATATACTCTTAAAGATTTTGATTGTGTCCATTAAAGGTAAATTCCTGACATCAACATGTGGCTGACTTTTGTAACACAAGGACAATTTGTTTACTTATATATAATCCTGTCACTTTTACAAATCAAAACAATGCAATAAGTGAAATCATCCATTTCCTTACTTGACTTTTCTCTCTTCCATTTGTGGTGGCTTGTTACGCTGTGCTTTATCACCCATGCGTGTACCCGTAAGTCTGCCTGATAAGGCAAGCACTTCTCCTGTAGGTTCATCTCGTGCTCTCCTGTCGATCAATGATCTGTCTGCTTGCAATACAAGATTAGAGTTCTGGGGGGAAATAAAAAGTCAAATGATAACAAATTTTCAACATCATTTATCAAAAACTTGAGAAATCTAAAGGGAAAAGGGAATGTAATTTGAATTCCAATTATGTATTGATGTTTAAAAGTTGGGAGTTTTCAGAGAACAAGCTTTAAACATATAAATAGCGATACATCAAGCTCTAAGATGTAGTATGATTGAGATTTTATACTTATATTAATTATAGCTTCAACAAACATATACTGAACTTTATGGAAAAAGAAACTTTACATATACTGGAAGAGGAACCATTACAGTGTTCATGAAATATTTTTTCAATAACAGGATAGGATAGAATTCTGTCAGACCAGTTCCCCTCCCTCCATCCTTTCTTATCTATATTGTGGTTGTAAAAGAACATATGATAATTTCAATTTCTAGAATTTTATGATAAAAGCAATAACTTCATTTTTTAAATATATTTTTAATAAAATTTTGTCACACTGTGTAAATTATTGATACAGATGAGAACTGTTTAATCAAATATTACAATATTACATTTATGATTGTTTGAAGATGTAACATATTTATATTCTTCCCTGAAAATATCACAAATTCTTTTCCACCGTTTTTTTATGTTCACTGCTGTCTGCATGCTATCAATTACTACCGAGACCTTTCTATTAAACTGCTGGTAATTAAAGCGTTCACTTTTGGACAGCTGTATTTCTCACATGACCATTCCCATAATATTTTACACTTTATCACTAAATTTTCAAAAGTTATCCATGGCTGACCCACCTGCCATGTGGATACAGAACCCTTTATTTCCAATTATGTTCATAATCTGTTACTCTGACCTTCATCTCCTCATCACATAAACATCATCTTTTCATAGTCCTCTTACTTAAAGCAGCCACAATATCATTAAGTTTGAATGTTTCAAATGACTAAAATCTGTCATCTTTAAATCATCACCAAAGACAACATAATGAATTATAAAACCTGAGCCAAAACTAGGAATTTAATATTGGACCAAATCAATTTTTGTTGGATTTCACAGACAGCCAACACTTTTGGGACACAATGAGCTATTGATTTTTTTCCTTCCCAATAATTCATAAGCAATTTACCTGATAATTTTCAGACAAAAATAATGAATCTTATATTTATAATCTATCAACTCAATTTTATTGTTAGACCTTAAATGGAGATCATGAAATGTAAATAGGGGATTTTCAGCATCCAAGGAGGACTGTTTTTCTTTACTGTTGAACAAACATTGTCAATCAAAATACCACCAGCCAGGTAATCACCCACGAATATCACAATCTTCAAAGACTTCAAGAGTGTTGGTTCTATCCCCATTTACTGGATATTAAGTGCTAACATTCAGACAATTTTAAATTTACCTTAATACATACATCACATTGATTCCACACAAAGAGCCTGACATCATTTGTCTTTGAGTTATCATTGTTATCTATGAATATTATAAAACAATACGCATGCCACAGGCACTATGATTGTGCATGCACCTTTCCAGGTAACTGAGCAAACGGTAACACAAGATGTCTGTCTAGTTATTGTTTTCTTTGGGGAAAAAAATCAAGACCTACATAGGTAAATCAAATAACTGTATCAAGTATTTGAACTATCCATAATATTTGTAATTTAATTGTATCTTAATTTTCACCTTTCATACAAAGACAGTATGACTTGGAGCTTGACAATGCACTGTCTGATACATGGCAGAGAACAACAATAATCAACTGAAAATCATACAACATCAATATGATCATATTTTAATCATGACAATTCATTTTCACAGTATATTTAAACAACCATTTTTTATACAAGCGACCGATATGTTTACAAAATTACTGTTTTAATACTTCTAAGGCAAAGATTACTTATACAGCTGTAGCACATAAATACTGTAGGATCCAAAACTTTAAACCAGAGAATGTGACAGTAGGCTACAACAGTGTCTGTGTTACGTTTAGTCTAAAAACGTAATAAATAATGGATCCGCAACAAGTATAAAATCCATGATGCGCCCAATAAAATGTAGTTTTTCGCTATCACAAGGAAAATATTAGATTCATTCATCAAAATATATAATCAAATATTTTACAAACACCTGGGTGGCTATATCACAGATTACAGTTAATGTAACAGTGTGTAAAAGTTCAAACCCCCTATATCAATAACTTGTTCAGAAACGAGCACTGTCAGAACTCTTCTGATCCTCGCCGTATATTTTTTCTTTTTTAAAATGTGGGGGGGGGGGCGGTTGATTTGACCGATTATCCATTTCAAAATGTTGCAACAGTTGTAACAATATAAACTTACAGCTTTGTACTCATATTGCAAGGACCTAGCCGCTGCGTCAGCCATGTCTTGCTAACTTGTGTTCTTATGTTCAGTTTACAGCAGTGTTCATTTGTTCACGAGCGGTTTGTCGATCGCATGGCGTTTTCACTGCGTTGTAAATAGCAGGACCGCAGTAAATGTACGAAATTTAAAAAAAATGTTAAAAAAATAGTTACCTCCACTATTTTCAATAATTAGTTTTATTAGTAGTTAATTACTTGATATGCATATTAATTTGAGCCATAAAACAACCCAGAATATTATAAACTTATATATTGGAAACACTTTCGGAATAATTTTGATGTACGTTCCACACGAAGAAGCATTCCGAGGTATACCGAATCAAACAGCTACCACAGGAAGTTGCAGACAATGAGCCTGAGATAGTCTACGTACGTTTGTTTACAGTGAAACAGCTGACTCTTAATCTAGTGCGCATAAGTGACTGTGTGACAGAAGAACGCAAATTAACGTACTGAAGGGATAAAGGCTACTTGTTGCTTAAAACAGTGAAGGTAGGTACTAAGTAACTCGATTACTAACAGTAAACATTTCCCAAACCGTTTCAGCTGTGAAAAAAAATCGGTTAAGGCTCAGCTGTCATTCCGTAAATCATGCTCTGTTGTAAGTCATTTTCACGATGATAATTTTACTTCTTTAAAATGCATTTGTAGTAACAATAAATAATAAATATGTATAATATAGATCTTCTGAATTTATTATCGTAAATTAATTTATATGAAGGAAATACATTTGTAGAAGTATTTTGACAACCGCAATTTTGAATATATAGTTCACCAACAGATGTAATTTCGTGTCGGAAATCATATGTTTGTTGTATTTAGTGTTGCAATATAACTAACAGTGTGAATAGAAAGAAAGATATATAGATAATAAGATTATACAAAAGCTGAGAATATTCACAATGGCACAACAACATCAGATGATATACCACCTGACTAGAAGCCTTGTATATTATAATCTTTTTCCAATTGTTTTCATTTAAAAGATTTGAGAGTCCACAAAAGCATTGTCAGCATGGTCAGTTTTCAAGATTAATCTGTGAGAGACTTTGAGTGGTGTTCAAAATTGTGATAATGATTACTTGTTTAAGTTTCTTTTTTATTTGTATGTGTAATTTTCTATTTGTCAATAATTCACATTCAATATGTACTTAGAAAAGTCAAGACACAAGTATTTCCCTCCAACTCAGAATTATGTTGCTCTATAATGGGATAATTTATATTCTGAATGAGTCTATGTAGGCATTGCTGCAGCAGACATTTCTGGTTGCACATGTTGATTTATGCCAAACTGGCTGTCACTGGTTACCTAAACCAATTAAATTTACAAAAATCTTATCTTCATCATCAACTCGAATACATGATAACCAGAGACCTTATAATGTTAAAAAAATAGCTAGAGTCAGATTTATCTATCTGGAAAGTTATTTTAGCATGCATATATTGTTAAATATTGTGCAGTATTTTTGAATTCCCAACTTTTTGGTGGTGTTTTAGCAATGTTCCTTTTTCCTGTGAAAGTGGTTGGAAATGCATTTGAAATTGATGTTTCAGCTGTTTTAATTGAGTTGTATTAATCCAGTAATCAAATGGCCTGTTTTTCACTTATTTAATTTTTTGTATAAAAAGCAAAGTTTGATAATTCACTAAGCCTTTACTACTATCTCCTTTTTCTTTACCAACTTTTTGATGCATGACATAATTATCTCATTCATCTTACATTGATGTGATTTGTTATTTGAGCATGTTCAATGTTTTAGTAAAAGAAATGGGATTTCTATAAGAACTTTGATTCAGAGATGTTACAGGTGATGTATGCATACTGTAATTTTGGAAAGTCCCTGTTACTAACTTCAGTTTCTTCTAGTGCCATACTGAGTTTTATGTGAATTAGAATGTGAGTTTATTGGAAAGCATGTTAGCATGGGTGAAAACCATATTAAATTTGCACATTGTCACAGTAAGGGGGTATAATGTTGGTGTTGTCTCCATATATTCTTGCAGCGATCATAGACAACACTCCTCAATACTTTTTAGTGGTCCAGCACATTTTACATGGCAGTGGTGTTGGAAGGTAAATAAAGCAAATAAATAATTAATTTTCTATCTGTTCTGTTACTAGCAACCAATTTATTAAACTAGGATATGTAATTTGTTTTAAGGTTTTATGACTAGAATGGTACAAACATCTTGATAAATGTTGTATGGAGCAAAAACAACTCTTTTGTCTTAATATGTCCTATGGTATAGGGGTTCATTCACTGAAGTGTTACACTTAAGGGAATAAGATACTAAAATATCTTATTATTCAAAGCTACTGGCATTTGAACACATGAATGTGTAATGTTGTAAAATCCCAGTACAATATATTAATTGTATCTGTATATGGTAACATTAGTGTAATCTGTGACACAGATTCTTCCTAAATTTCAATGTCACTGATGTCCACTCCCAAAAAGGATGATGACCTTGTCTATATGAATATATATAATTTGCCTTTCCCTATCTTATTAATACTTAGTAGGGACCATGATAAGCTTTGTCATCTTACCTCATGTGTATGTGCATAACAAAACCAGGGTCATCGGGCCATGTGAAGCATAATTTGGTATTTTATAATTAAATACTTTGGAACATGTAATAAATTCTTTATTAATATCATTCTGTTCAATATGTCCTAAGGATATACACATGTCACACATGTAGGTTTGTGTCTAGTTGACGATCCTATGGTAATTACCTATTTAGCCTTTGGTCATTATATGTCAAATTAACCTGGTTACCTGCATACTAAATATGTAATCCTTATTAAGTACTCCAATCTTATATTAGTACATGTTTTTTATATGTATATCTAACATGTTGGCGCGGTGCATGTAATTTCTTATATAATGTAACATTTATTTTCCTTGTCCATCTCTATAAAAGCTGGTAAGAAATTGTATTAAACAGTCGATCTCTAGGACATACATCTGTACGTCCACACACCAATAAACTTCTTAAACAGACAGTATGGGCTCAGTCATATTAACATTATGTGAGTTTTAGAGCTGAAACAGGAGAGATAAAGGGTTGGGGGGTGAGTTTTACCATTATGTTCATATATTGATATCATACTCTCTTGTGTGTCAATAGGTCAAACTTATTTTTGACTGATTATAAATAAATGCATCATTTGATTCCATTGAAATGTTCTTCACTGCTTACATGGGTAGCCCTTTTACTAGTACAATTAAGTATTAGGTCTGTAACAGGAGCGGGAAAATGCATGATCAGACCTGGGTTCAAACTCAGGACCGTCTAAACTCTAGACAGATGCTCTACCAATTGAGTTGCCTGGTTGCTGATGTTAAACAATTGACCCAGTCCAGTTCTGCTACACTTTCCATTAATTTTCACTGTTGACAAAATTACAGTGTGTATGTATGTATTTTTCATTTGTGATTTGCTGATGTTATTTTTTCCCATGATGTTTAGTAGTGTCAAATTTTAAATGGTGAAATGAAAACACACTAGAAATTATTTGTAATTCATTTGATATCTAACCCTATAGCATATAGGAGTGTGTTTACATAATGTATGGTTGGTTATGTCATTGTCAGTATAAAAGAAATAAAACACAGGAGGTAATCTACAACACTGAGTGTACGTGTAACACCATATACTTCAATTTGAGACCTGGTCAAAGATTAAATTGCCTTCCTGGTTAACAGGCTCTGATTTTAAACCTAAGAATATTAGGTAAGTTATGTTTGTGGTAAGAGTGAGATGACTCCAGTTCCTTTCATTGTTGCTAAAGGATTCCTCATATGCATGGATCTATGATCTAAATGTGGAATTTTATGGCATTCTTTTACAAGACTGGAATGTAAGCCTGTGTTTACTGCATAGATTACACCCAGAACAGCCACTTTCTTAAAGAGATGATAAAGTGGCTTATTTCATAAACATTTGCATCATAGAATATATATAAAAGATACTAGGTTGTTAGTCACATATAGAATTATAACTCGCTGTGCAGCCCAGATCTACAGGCATTACGTGCATCCTTGCACAAACCGCAGTGATGTCATATTATAGGGTATTTGCAATTTAGGCTTAAATCACAGCACTGTAGGTATTTGCAGTTTGGTAGCTAGGCAAAATTTGAATGCATTTAATCGTGTTTTGGATTAGTGTGGTGAATACTGGAGTGAAGTTGTGATAGAGAGAAACATGGAATGTTATTGAGTTTTATAGTCCCTGGAATGAATGATAAAATGTACCACCTTATATAGTTGTCAATATCAAATCCAACTTGTCTTCAAGTCACATACCAGTATATCGTTACAATTTATATTATAACCATGAAAATATTCTTGTCATTATGCATGACTCTACGTTGTGTCTGTCATCACTAATTTCTGATCTGATGACTGTTCATACTGCTACAGTCATTGTTATGATATTGTCAATTTTTCCTCTTAGACGATGCAACCTTTGACATCCTTTTATTTGATATGAAATATAAATTGCCATCAGTCATATATTATGATATAGTAAATTGTTGCAACTGGTGACAACCCCTGAAAACAGCAATTTTATCCTAGCAAAGTATTTTTTTCAAACCCGATATCATGTCCAATATTCTGTAACTGTTCTTCATTGGCATTCACAGACTTAGGTGACTCAACCATGTTTTGTGCAGACGGAAAAATGATTTGATCCATGTGAAAAAAAACTGCAATTGTCTTATGAGTAGGAAAGATATCAGGTAACATTTGTTATTACATGTAAGATGTATTTACATCCATTTAGATATGACCTTTCGTATCCAAAGTCAAGGTGCCTTATGATGTAAGATGGTGTCATTGTTTGTTTCAGTGTGATAAACACAGTGTATATACAGATCTGGGTAGCTTAGTTAGTGTATGTATGATATCATATGACGACATTTCTGGGTGATGCTGACGTTGTAGATGAAAAAAGGAAGGGCCGTGTATTCTGATACTCTAATGTGCTGCTCTCTTCTGTTCCTGTTCTTTCTCAAATGTCAAAAGATATGTAATGCCATTCTACATACAAAAATATACAAGCTGTCGTCATGAATTGAGACCAAATCATAATTTAGATTTCTCCTGTTTTGCGAGTTATTGAAATGTGAGCACCATTGTTGTTTTTACCAGAAACAAACATTTCTAGTGTATGATGATGTGGCAGGATATTTTTGTCACATGACCTGAGCCTGTTATTTATTATGTTTGACTGTTTCTGACACACTTGTTGATCATTCCATCATTAAGCCATGTGGTAGGGATTGTACATGTTACATGCCATCTGTAATCAGATACAAGTGTAAACAGGTGGAAGGAATGAAGGAGGGGGTTGTTTACTGGTACATAGAAAACCATTATAGATCTGATATTGTATGGAAGAAGGGAAAACACATTCCTTTTTATCAGTGTTTGACAGGAGTTGAACCCTGGATTTATGAACTTATATCCAGTTATACC